ATCTCACTGATGAGTTACCCATTTTATCATTAACCAATTCTTTTCTTTTTGCTGGTAATATCCTTTGTCCAAAACTTTCAACATTTTAATTCCACTTACAGTCCTTTATGCTCTTATTATCCCAACATCCCCAAAAGTCTCAACCCATTATAGTATCAACTCTCACCTAAATATTGCCAGTCCAGAGTCTCACCTAAATGTCCCAAATCCCATCATCTAAACCATCTAAATCAAGATATAGGTAAGACTCTGCATATAAATTATTCTGGGGCAAAATTCTTCTCCATCTGTGGACTTTTGAACTCAGAAAATAAAATATCCACTTCCAAAATACAATGAGGGAATATGAATAGAATAATGGTTACAGATAGTCTCATTCCAAAGGATAGAAAAAGAAATGGGGAAAAAAAGGAATTATTAATCCCAAGAAATGTTGAAACTAAACAAGGAAAACTCCATTAGTTTTTAAGACCTGGGACTAATCGTCTGCAGCTCATGGTTCTGCCAACTGGGCCAAAGAATCCATCCTCCCTGATTTAAGGAGCCACCCTCCAAGCTCATGGCTCTGTCCTCAGTGTCATCCTTCCTTCTTCAAAAATGATAGCATGTATTTTCAGCTAAATAGTTTCATTAGCCCATATCCTGCTTATATAATTTTAGGAGTCTGACAGCTTTATTTCATTTCTTCTCTTCTCTGTCCCTTTCAATGTAGGCTATCAAAGATTCTACTGATATTATTTTCTTAAAAATCTTGTGGGTTTCCTATGTATGTCATAGGAATTTACTCCATTAGACCAGAGGGTCCTCCATGTATCTTTCCTGAATAATCTCATATTCTTGGCTTCTGCTGAGATTGTTAAGGAAATACACACACCTAATGTCTTCAAATAGTCTCTGTGAGAGTGAATACTTTTTATCCTTCCAAAGCACTAGCATCTTTGGATTTCTCTGCAGAATACACTTTCCTAACAATTTACTTCCTAATTTTAGCATCTTTTTCAATTGAAACAGGCTGGGGATTTCCTGAATTATTAAAGGGGTTCATTATTGTTCTTCCAAAAATCTAAAACACAGCTATCTTGGTGTAGACTTTGGTATCTCGAGTTCATATGTTAGACTCATACTTTGGGAAGCTCCGAGCTTTTATTATATCCTCCTGTCTCATAGGTGTCCTCCAACCCAGCCCCACTTTCTGGGAAAATAAAAGTAGCTACCATGTTCAGTTGCTTTCCTGGACTTATGTTTTCCTTTCATGTATATCCTGGTAAGGAGCTGATATTTCTTCAGTTTTTCAGGGCTTTTAAGATGATTTTTGTGTCTTTTTTTAAATTCTCTGTTATTCATTATCTTAGATAGCATTTAACTTGCCGGTTATATATGTTCATTTATCAATAGCATTTTAAAGACAGTAATTCCTTGTTAGTTACATAATTAAATAAGCGATTACATGGAAGTTTACAGACAGGCAATTTTTAAAAGTTTCATGGGGCCCTGACCCAAAT